TGATTTGAACACACATCTCTTTTTATTCTTTTTCATTAATGTTGCCCTTTTCCCTTCCACTTCACCTGAAAGATTTCCTTTTCTACACAAAAAAAATTCAAAACTGCAGAAAAATTCTCTAGGACTCCCATGTAGCGGTAGTATTTTTTATACCAGTTTAAAACTATTTGGATAAAAAACTTTTCCGTTGCTGCCTAACCTGCCGTAGTCTTTAAATTACAAATACTCTGCTAGATCTTATGAAAGTTAATTTTATTTTTGTTAATGTGATTGAAATCAAGTAGATATCAATAGCAGTAACTGTACCCTCAGAGTGTCCCTTAATGACATGCAAATATGATAGTAATGTGGCTGACCTGATGTTTTAATAGTGCTGGTGGAATGGGTGGATGGAGTCAGTGGTGTTGTTGATCACAAAAAAGGGATATTGCAAGACTGTTTTTACACCATTGACGTTTCAGTCTTAACACTGTTGGAACATCGTTTAGTATTAATTCAGTAAAGGTCAGAACAATTGTGGGGAAAAAAACGTTGACAGAACAAACAATTGGCTGTGGCTTGTAATTGTGAAAGCTTTATGTAATTATCTTTTTGTCTCTCGATCCTATTGGATCCAGAACAAGTAGCAATTCCTCAGTTTGACAGAGCGCAGACCTTTGTGGAATCACACGGATCTCAGTACTGCACTGTGTGATTACTCTGGAAAATAAGCATCTAGAGCAGTTATATTTAGGTAAACAAACATAAAGCAAGGAATGACTGAATATAGTTTTAATTAAGAAAAACAACAACACAAAAGTAAGGTCCAACAAGCAAAGAAGTGGAATTGTATTTACTAATAACAAAACTGCTGGAGACAAATACCTTTACATTAGCCATATGTAGTGATTCCCTTTGGTTTTGATGTCATCTTCTCTTCTTGAATCATGGCCTCTACATCAGAGTGATGACTTAATGTAATGGAGTCTGAGAAACACAGAATCTAAGTTATATTTCTTATTTCCTTCTTTTGGTAGACACATAGCAAAAGAGAGACTTGTTCAACGAACAAACAAAATCTTCATGGTGAAGTACCATATAGTATTTCCGGCAGATACATTGGAATAGTTCTCCAGTAATACATATTTTTCTGTAGTTTTAATTTCACCATTTTGCGAATACAGACTGAAGTCAGAAGTGGAAAGAGACCACCCGCAGCTTTGAAAATGAGCCCTTTGAAGGTGCTCGCGTTTGAATGGCTGACATTTTCCCAATATGAGAATTGTGTCCCTGAAATTTATGAGCATTCTTAAGAGATTTGTAAGGGAAAGGAATAGGGTTAGTGAAGTCTCCATAGGAATTGAAAACATGCAGCATGAAAAAACACCTAATTCATTTCCCCCTTTTACATTTTTTTTGAAAACAAATATTTACATAGTAAAGCATCAGTACCTTTTACTGCATTGTGATACTGCAAGCAGCAAAAAAAAAAAAAAAACATTCTTTCTGCAAAGTAGAAATACAGCTGTTGAGCTCTTAACAAAAATAATAGTATTTAATAAACCAGATTCAAGTCACATATCCCTGAGTTGCCTTTGGAAGTCAGAGCCAGCAAAGTAACGTGTTTGGGGAGAGGAAGGAATTTTAGCGTCATGGATAAAATCCATTCCCTGATGCTTGACCTTAAAGCTGGAGTGTAGGAGTACCCTAAGGTATCTGGAGAACCAGAAGTCTCTGGAACACGGTGATAGAGGTACACAGTGGCCAGTGGTTTTGGGGAGAAGCAAACCTGCAGTGACCAGCCAACAGCTGGAACACAACTTGACGTTAAAGGCAGCAGCTACTCCTCAACTGGTATAATTGATGGAACTGAAATAAAGACTTTTCCCTTTTTCTGGGAGATGAGGATTTGACTCACAGTGTTTTTATGCTCTCTGAGTTCATGCCCTTGCCTACTTCTGCAAGCATTGTAATTGAAAACTATACATATTTGGAAAATATTCCTACAGACCTTGCTCATCTGAACAATTTGTCCTGACTTCAACAGCACTGTTGATGTGAGTAAGAACTGGAGTGGATGCATGCTTTGAAACAGTGCTGTATCTCTCTAATCTTCGTTTGTCAAATGTTGTTTGGTAAAGCTTGGAAGTTACTTTAGCAGACATATGTAGGAAGAACACATTTTTAGAAGAAGACTGGCTGTTCCTTTTTGGCTTTGATTTATCTGCATATTGAAACATGTATGTTTGGAAGATTGATCTTTTCATCTGTATCCCTCTAATTTACCGTCTTTTGTTGCATCTGCGTATTTCCCTTCTCGATAACTCCTTTTATGAGTATTTTTTTAAGCTTGTAAAAAATTTCTTTACTTTGAAGCCAAGAATTGACATAAAAAGCAAAACTGTTGTATAAAAGGCTGTTTTAAATAGATATTAGCAAAGTAATGAGTCAGAGAACAGTTACTTAATTAGCTAGAGATTTGTTATCTAACATTCTCATTGGGGAATATAATTGATTGTGTACTCATATGACACTTGAGATACAAATTTTCAATCTCAGTAGTGAAAAAGCCACACAATCCTTATCACTGGGGATGCTATTTAGTTTTTTAATTACAACCGTATATATGTTGGCTTCTGCCTTTCAGCAGTAGAGTAGATGACGTTTGCACCTGTGTGCCCAAGGTGAAGAACTAAGGGCTGTCCTGTAGAGGCTGTATCCACGAATCTGTATCTAAGAAACACGTCTGAGAATTTTTCTGTTAAAAGTCTTTGAGATTCCACTAGCACCCACGGCACACGCTGAAGCGTGATTTAAATCTCCTAGTGGTAAAGGTAAAGGTATCGATAGGCAGAGATGATTTTCATAATTTATGTCACTTACTGTATTACTATGCAAACCTCTTCAAAACTGCCTGAGCCACTAAAGCTACAAGTTTCTGTGTCTGTATTATGGAGGCGGAAACTGATCTTATATTTCTATAACCATATATTTACACGCTTGGCTGCTATTTCTGCTTTTGCAGATTTGTAGCATAGCAGCAGTGCAATATCTGTTTAATGAAGGGTACGTAACACTGGGGCTAAAATAAAGATGGTTATACACAATGTCCTGCACAGTAGTGATTCTCTCTCCTCTAAGAATAAAAAGCAGAGATGCAGTCAGAAACATTACACTGAAAGCAAAAGGTTTTATTTTGGCTTTTAGTCTCCCTGAGGGATTTATCAAAGATACAAATTCCAACACTTCAACAGGGAAAAAAAAATTATTATTTTGAACTTAGAATATAGCTTTCAATGACAGGAATATAGTTAATAGTAAAAATTTGTTGTAGCTGAATATTAAAATCCTACCTGGAAGGGATAATGTTCCTTTAAAACATTCACAATCTATTCTCTAGTTTTACTCTATTATTTACTACTGAAGGGGCTGATATCATTAATCATTACTGGAGCTTTAAAGCAGTAGAATCAGGTAGGGTGATGGTATCTGTCTCAGAACACATTTGTGTGAGGTGAAGAAAATGCTACAAGATATTCGCTGACCTCAGGGGATGCAGGAAACTTCCATGACTCATTTTATATCAGCATATAGTAAGTTTCAAAACCATAAATACACTCCCCCAGGTATTAAAATGTTATATATGTCTGCCTTAAAACATAAATTCCATGAGAAATAATAGTTATGAGCCTAAATATACATAAAACTAGCCTCAATCCTTTGCTGGACCTGAACCTTAAAGACTATGGCACAAAGCAAGATTAAAAACAGAGATTTCTCCCAGTTGCTTGTAGAATAACTCATCAGTGCTTATGGCTTTGCCCGGTGACCAGCAGTAGACACTCACTGCTACACCCCCTTTGTTTTCTATCCCCCTAATCCTTGCCCAGAGGCTCTCCACCACATCATCACTAACTGCAATCAAACTCTCCTTTACGTACAGTGCAACACCTCCACCACACCCACCCTGCCCATCCCTCCATCCCTCCCGGCACTCCGGTCATGGGACTCATTCCACCAAGTCTCCCTAACGCCAAGAGTATCGTAGCTCTGGGAGCTGACCAACGCTTCCAGTTCATCCTCTGTGCTCCTCATACCACGTGTGTTGATGTGCAAACATTTCAGATATGTTCCTGAGCCCTGCTTGCTCCCGGGAGCAGCGTAAATGTTCCCACTAGCATTGCCACCCTCAGCTGATGCCACACCAACCCTCAGTTTACCCGCTGCAACTCTGTTGGTATCCCCTTCCCCTGTGGATCCTAGTTTAAAGTTCTTGACTATTTTGGTTTAAAGGATCTTGAGTACGAAAATAATTTATGTGCAATTTCATACAGAATGTTTAGGATGTTTATTAGCAAGTATACTTTCAAAAGGAATGGAAAAGCTTAGAAAAGGCATCTGTTAGGGAAATCATTTTTTTTTTCAGCTGAGAGTATTTAATTCTTGAAATAATAAAACAAGTACTTCTGTTATTGCTTTTCTTGTAGCTAAAATTATTTTACATATTTGGACTATGAAGCTAGAAGAAGATGCTAAAGAGAAAGGAAGGGTTTATATTCTTAATCCAAGAAAAGATATGGGCTAAGTTTAGTTGCCCACACAGAGGTGTCTCATGTCATCTGAAATCCTGTGAAATCTGTTGCCTGGCTTCCAGGTACAGTTGCATAGGAGCACAGTCTCCCAATGATCTCGTCTGGTGTTCTTGGCTTAAACTTACTGTGGTTTTAGAGCTATTGCAGAGAACAGGGTTCTGTTTGATTCAGATCTGCTGGGAAATGACCTTTTTTGCTGTAAAGATACTACAGCCGGATTTCATTACCTGCCTATAACTCAACCGCGTTGTATGTTTCATGAATTACCAGAGCTGCCTTTGTCTGCTTCATCAGCGGTGTATAATGAGCCTTTATTAGTTGTAGGCTATAATCAGCAAGTCATTGTACACATCTCGTGTTTTCCACAATGATTTGTTCCTCCTCCTGCCCCTCACTGTGATGTTCTAACATTTTGTATCTTTCTTTTAGGTTGGCTGTTACTTGAAGACCCCTAAATACCCAATCTGGTTGGTGTGCAGTGAAAGCCACTTCAGTGTGCTTTTTTGCTTGGAAAAGGATTTAGTAGGTGACTGGAAAACAGAGAGGAGATTTGATCTATATTATTATGATGGCTTGGCCAACCAGGAAGAAGAAATACGGTTAACGATTGGTATGTACAGCTCAGTAACTCTGCATTTCATTTCCAACAGTGGCAACAGATCAGAAGGAAGAATCCAACAAAACACACAATAAAGGCTTCAGGCGTTAAAGGTTATTTATGTGCCTGTTTCCTAATTTTTGTAATTGGTTTTGGTGGTTAACTGGGAATTAGATTTCACAAGGAAATTTTGCAGATAATCTCTTGAAAGGGTTAAAAGTAAGCATGTGCTACTTTATTAGGACTAGTAAATCTTCCAGTGACACTAATTTCAGAAGAAAAGTTTGTAGCCTGGACTGTTCGTGCTTCCAGGTCTATAAACCGTATTTAACTCCCCCCATTCTCCTTCACATGTTCCCACATTTTTTTACAGGCAGAAAGTGCAAGTCTCCTGTTCCTCTACATGCCTGTAGTCAAATGAGCAGAGAGGGTGGGAAGGCATGAAATATGTGCGTCCAAACCCAGCCACTTCAGAAGATGGCAATAATCTGCTGACAAAGTCTAGTCTCATACCTGCTTGTAAGCATGCCTGGAAACACAAGCGTGGAAACGATCTTCCAACTTCTTACACTCATTCTTTCAAGACACCATGCCAAATTGTGCAGCTGCTTTTACAGTAATTGTGTATTTCTCCAACTGAAAGGCATTTGAACAAGAAATATTCTGATGCTTAGTGCCATATTGAGACATTCTTGACCACTAAATTCCTATTTGCTATTAATATCTGACTTATCTTTTGTTTTCTTGTCTTCAGTATATTTATACAATCTAATCAAATTCCTTCTCAGTCTTAAGGAGCCACTCTGTTGTAGTCTGCTCTTTAAAAATAAGCTGTCTGTATTCCATGTTTGCACCTACATTCTGGTTCTTGGATGAGATGAGTTAAAGCATGAGTGTTGTATGTTCTAACTGAGCAAAGCTATTTGCATGGTGGGAGTGCTGGGGGCTTCAGCATCTCGCAGAATTTGGTAGTGAATTCAGTCATCTTTCTATCTGTTATTTATCCTTTTATTTTAACTAAAATCCCTGTCTTACTATTGTAGTGATCACATTATATATTATCTCAAAGCATTTTTTCTGTTGTGTTGCACCATGTAACATATGGCCCAAAAACAAGTGTCCTTTTCTGTCTTTTCATTATTAATAAATCAGGACTGTTTACAAAATTTAAAGCTACCAAGCACTCTGAGACCCCTGGATGAGGAAGTGCTCAAAGTATATAAAATGTTTTCTCTTTACTGTTCAACCTGTCATGGAGTATCTGTATTTCTCCTCGAAGACTAAACTCACAGTGAGAAGTAGACACCTTTCTCTTTTAACTGTAGATTCTTCCAGGGATGTGTCCTAATAAATCTTTTGTTATCTGTGAAATTCTGCAAGATGCTGTGAAATGCAAATGATTTCATCATTCCAGGGAATTGCTTTCCTAGTAATCACTTTCCAGTAATCCTTTGTTAGGTCTGGAGAAAAACTGAAATTACTTTTCTGTCCAAAAGATAACAGTGATTGTACATCTAAACCATGCATACAGGACCAGATGGAGGTATCAGAATGCTAAGTATTACTGGTATTTCTGTTGTGGAAATGTCAGCAAGCTGGGATGGTTGGGGAGCGTTACCTAGAGATAGAACACGAGGTCCTGGGTGCTGCACAGCCACGTCTCACTGGTGCTGGTTAGCAAAGTTGTTTACTTTTCACTAGCAATAAGGTGAATTCCTTGGAATGGGAATCTTGTTTATAATTAGGAAGATTATAATCAAAGTCACATTTCAGGAAATCTCGAAGAAATTACACTGGGCAGAAAAAGGCAAAAAAGTCAGAAAGAAAGAGTAGAATTACATTTTAAGGTAATAGCAATTGCCACTTTATATTGAAAATTTGCCCTGCTTCTCCTTACCAAAATGTAGAAAAGAAACACAAAGTTCCTTCCTAAATGCAGGCAATGCCTGCTAGTGAATTAAACGTGCTTTCCTAGATAAATGAAGATTCTTCAGTCCTTTCCATTGAGGTAGAAATTTCTGACAGGCTGAGAAGGAAAAAAAGCTAGTGTGTCTAAATAACTCACATTTTGCTCATCCTCCTTTGTCAGCTATTTAGGGACTGAGTAGAGATCCTGGGATACTTGTTACATGTCACAGGGAGTGCTTGTATGCAAATGAGTGCATATTGCTTAGAGAAATACTGCCTCTCCTCTCTAATATATACAGTTAACACCTACCTGTGTTAACATTTACAGTGTGTTGTCTCCAAGTGAAGATATAGGGAATTTTTTGTGCAATTTCACTTAATAAATCATTCGTATATCTCATTGGGGCATACCTTCAACTGAGTAGTATCCCTTTAAAGGAATTTTCAAAAAGCAGCTGAATAATTGCAAAGAGGAATATAACTGAATTTCTCAGAAGATTCTTCCAGAGTCGTAGACACTATCCTCAGCCCCTTTCAGATCCCGCAGAAGGTAGTGAAATTAGCAGTGAAATTAGCAGAGGTTCAGATATTGGGGACGGCTTCAAGGGAAGGCTGGTACATTGATTACGACATGTTCTTTCAGAACATTACTTTTTTTCACAGTCGAGATGAGATTGTTCCAATGTGCAAAAGTCTTCTGGAAAGGTAATTAATAAAACATTGGGTTGCCTTTTAAATTAGAAGTAGTATTTCTTCTCTCAGTGATTGTTCTGATTCCACTCTTCTAACCTGTGCTCCTCACATCTGAATAGAAAGTTTGTAACTTCATGCTCTCAGCTTCTCACTGCCCTTAGCTTAGAACGCAAGTGAACATAAGAGATTGTATTCTCATCCTTCTTGATGAGTCCAACTTCAATATTGCTTGCTCCAAATGAGTTGTATGAAACACTTTCAAACAGATAGTTGATTTGGCTAAATGTTCCTTACAGCTCCTGTAAGATACATCCCTAGTGATACTCTT